CTCAGGCAGTGCAGGGACACATGAGAACTGCCAGCTGTCGGGTCACTTTAGTAGGTGTTAACTGCATATGACATTGAAGAAGCACAGACTAGAATGTAGCAGCAATCAGGGTAGCTATGGCTGGAAAATGTACGAGGATTTAAGTTCCTCTAAAGGCATCTCTAGCCTTTCCCTTCGAAAACCAGGAGCCAGCACGGTAACTATCTCAGGAGACCTATCACACATCACCTTTGTGACCGTGGGCTGGAAAGTAAGTCAATACCCGACACATCAACTGCACAATACAGATAAGAAAGCTCTGCCTGATGCCTTTCTATAGATAAGGCATCTCACATGGTCTCCTGGGTGCCAGCATCCCTGCTCTAAGTTCAACAGGTAACAGCAGATTGAGAGGGCTTGGCACTCCCTTGGCTTTGTCCAGAAAGCACTGAGAGACAAGTGAGCCATCGGAGGTAGATGAAAGGACACCACGTCTGTCCTCTTAACAATTACAGCAGCGGATTCAAATCTGCCAGCACGAGGCCCATCTGCAGCCCTCAGCGCAGGCCCAGGTGAATCACAGGGAACCTACGGAAAAGACTCAAAGCGCTGGTGCCTTGCATGTTTCTGGACTTTAGTGAGGCCTGACTGGAGAAGAAGGAAAGGGCTGTCCTGCGTTCAGCAGAAAGGCTGAAGGCTGTTCTGCCTCCTAACAGGAGCGGAAGCAAGGCAGGCGCCCACCGCGCACGGAAACCCCGTCCTTCATTTCCTAACCCCGGTTCACTGATCGACCTTCAAACCAGCAGCTCCTCCTTTGGGTTACTCCAAAGTCCTCCTGGAGACGGAATTTCCCAGTTACACAGGCTCAAAATCACGGATGCCTGTGAGTGCTCTCTTTTTTCACCCTGTGCATCTGGCCCCACCGCTCTCAGCTCCTCTCTTCCCCTGGTCTGATGGGGTCCACGCTCCTGGTGTCACCTCCACTCGCTGTATTTCAGTAATCTGCCTTGTGTTCCAAAAGCATCGCCCACTCTGCCTTGTACTTTCTAATGCCATCCTGCCATTCCCTAAACCAGGCTTCCTCTTTTTAAAAATGTATTTCTAACAGACAGAGAATAATTGTGTAAATGTATGGAAAAGGATGTGAAGCTTCCCCTTATGTGTCCTTTAAAGAAAGAATCAAGATAATTAATACATCTATCATCTCACTAACTTGTAATTTTTTTGTGATGAGGACAATAAACGGCAATTTTGGCAATGTGAAACACAGTGCACAATCTGACTACACTGTAGAGACCAGGAAGTACAGCACCCCATGGACTCTCAGCCCTGGGTTAGACTGAAGCGATGCACACTCTTACCAACGTCTCCCTTTGCCCGTTTGCAGGTTACAGACAGCAGCAGTGTTTCTGAGACTGGCTCGTTTCAGTGGCCCATTTTGTTCAGCACCTTGACTAACAAACCATTATTCCTTCATGTTTTGCCGTCATTTCTATTCATGATTCCTTCCACTGGGACCTTACCAGTTTCAGTTCTGAACATAACCTCCTGATGAGGTTGCTGGTTTGTGAATCAAAGGGGATGTTAGCTACCCAAACAGAGGCAGCTCAGTGACTGGCTGTGTGCATCACGAGCTCTGTGGGAGATCACGGCTTGAGCTACAGCACAGGGCTCTCGGAGCTTGGCACATCTGCTGTGGACAGAGCCCTCTAGAACCAGGGTGGAAACTTGATCCCTCTGTGAGGGTGTTAAGAAGTGAGCCTTGTGGAGGGAATCAGGAATGTGGAATGAGTGCCTTTATAAAAAGGTCCGGGAGGTGACTTGCATTTGAAATGACAGCACCACACCAGTCCTCCATGAGAAGAAAGATGGTCTCCGATGGACACAGAACATGCTGGCACTTCAACCTGGCACAGATCCCAAAACTGTGAGGAAAACTAGATGTTGCTTCTAAATAACCTAATTTATGGTGCTCTGCTTTAGCAGTCCAAACAGACTAAGACAACACTCAAAGCGTCTTAAATAGTCATCATCATAGCGCACTAGGGTCCTCCCGAGGAACAGGAAGCTCTTCGGGTCCTCTTCTAAGGGCACTGATGCCACTCGAGGCCTCTATTGTAAGGCCCAGGCACCCAAAGGCTGCAGCTCCCCACACAGAAACCTTTGGCCCAGACTTCAACACATGAGAGATGGAGGCGGGATGTGAAGCAAAGTCACCTGAGTCATCAGTGCCTCTGGGACAATCTGAACTCAGGCACAGCACAGAGAAACCTGCGCTGTTTCTGTGGTGTCACGGAAGGTGACACAGGCGCTTCAGGCTCTCAGTGACCTGGGCCCCGCATTGGCTGTGCTCGTGCTGAGCCACTGAGAGTCTTGGAACGAAGACTGCAGCAGCAGAGTCACAGCTGCCCAAGTCCGACTGGACTGGCCACTCACTGCGATGGCCCTGACCTCTGGTGCCTGCAGGGCCTCCCGCTGGAAGCCCACCAGGAAGCCGCCACCTGGGACATTTTCACGAACACAGATGTAACCTCATGTCTTATCTAGTAATGAATGAATGGCCTCACAAGTAAATGAAAAAAGGAAGTCTAATTTTCTTTCTTTTCCAAACAGTTTTGATGTTCTTAATCACTTACTTCCATACAGAAGCCACGTCATTATTTTTAAGGAATTTCCTCTTAGATTAGTAAATATCCTCAATAAATTAGGGGCAATTCCAACATTCACTTGAAAATTCTTGAGCAGGGAGGCCACAATAATAAGAATGTCTGTTAATTCACTTCTGCATCGACAAAACCAGAGTATGTGGGGCATGAGAATCAGGACACATAATTGCATTCCTTGGTCTCCTAAGAGCAGAGAACTGTGGAACGGTGTGATTTCAAACTCATTATACTACTGCACTTGGCCTGTGTGCTCAGATGCCGAAGGTGTAAGTGAACAAGTTGGTCAAACTTCTATTTTTAGTAAATACAAAAATTAAAAGAAGAAAGAAAAGCATGTAGTTGAATAGTATTTCTTCTCTTAAAATTAATCTACCCTGAAAAGAATCATGGAAATTGAAAAAAAAGCAAGATCTGTATAGTTTTCTAGTTCTTAGAAAATGGTATACAAGCATAATATATAAAGAAAATTCCTCTAGTGATTTTGAATATTACAGCAATGATACTAAAAGCAAATATTCATCAATAATCGACATCAGAATTGAATCAAACCCATCATTAAAATATCAAGCAGGCACACAGAAATTTGGTATGACAGCTCAAAATCTCTATGGAACTGCGGAAGTGTTCCTGCTGATTTATACGGTATCAGTCTCATTTCATATCTGAGTGTAGAAAGTGAGGAAATCCAATTGGATGAGCATCTTCGCTTTGAATGTGACAAATGATTTAACTGCAGCTTGCTGTGGATTTAAGTCAAGATAGTTTAATGTAGAAAAATTGGGTTGTAACATCTTTTTTTCTTACTGAAAACAAGGAAACAAGCAAATACATCTCCAAAATATAGGTAAATCTCGTATGCTGGCAAATGTGGACAGAATCAAGTTTATAAACTGAAGAGTCACGGTAGTCTTGGAGTTCATCTGACCCCCTATTCAAGATAACCACTGTAAAGGTGCTCAGAAGTCTGGGGAGCCCAAGAAAACTGAAACTTCAACAAAAATGTGGAAAACTAAACAGATATAATGGTGATCAGTAACAACTAAACTGACAATTTTAATGAATGAATCCAACAGCAGCTGAAAATTTCTGGATGGAGAAGGAAATGCACAATCACATCCAGACAGGATCCAAAAGAAGCAAAGCTCAAAGAAATTCACACCGAGACACATTATAAACAAATTATCAAATTTCAAAGACAAAGAGGGAAATCTGAAAAGTGCAAGAGAAAAATGACTTGTTCAGTTATACGCATGTCTGAAGGACCACAGTGGATTTTTAATCAGAAACCCTGCAGGCCAGCAGGAAGTGGGAGAATATTTTCAAACTTTTCAAAGAAGCTTTCAGAGGCTAACTACCTTGCCCAAAGTTGCTCAGTGAAGGAACAGGATAGCCAGGATTCAGACCTACGTTGAGCTCATGCTTAATTCAAAAATGCATTTTATTTTTCAAAATGACAACTTCAGCTTGTAATCTCAGCTATGTGAGAGGGCAAGGGAAGAGGATCGCAAATTGAAATCCAGCCTAGGTGACTTTGTGAGTTCTGCCTCAAAATACAAAATAAAAAGCGTGGGGAATGTAGATCCGTGATAGGGTACCTGCCTAGAGTGCTGAGGTCCTGGAAGCAGAGGGGAGGAAAGGCAGGGTAATACAGCATGAAAAAAAAAATAAATAGGAAAGAAAGAAGAAAAGACCAATCACAATCCTTCTCCAAACAAAAAATCCCCAGGAAGATAATGCACCAACACTCCCCGGGGCGCTGTGACCACCTCTGCCTGGGGTGGCTGAAATCCAGGGGTGGCACTAGGACAGGGTGAGTGAATACTTCATGTGCTTTGATGTGAACAATCTGCCCAAGGGACACAAGCTTTTCATGTGCTGAATGTTCTGGATAAGCGTGACCACGAACATGACAGACAAGGTCATCTGTCACATTCTAGAAGAAGTGAGTCAACACCCTGATGACTGCAATGCAGCAGAGGTAGATATGGGCTCAGTCTGTATAGAAAATTGGGGGACCACAAGGTGGAGAGGACTGCAGAGACCCGCAGGTCTTCTGAGCTGTGAGAAAAAGGGGAGACTTGGCGGGTGAGGATCTGAGGAGAAACCCTCAACAGGGGAGCATTCTAGATTATTCTGGGGCTCCTGTGCATCATTTCGGTCTCTCTTGATCTGTGATTCACACCAAGCAGGCACTCCTGCTATCATTTTAGACACAAAGACCCCAGTGAGGGGAGGACAAACCACTCCCCAGGCTTCTCAAAGAGGTTGCATCACATCATACGAAGCAAATTCTCCTGAAACAATGTGGAACTGATCCCCAAAGAACAGCCTGTGTTCCTTGGGAAGATAACTTACAGCTGCCGAATTTCAGGGGGCAAGCGTGGGCATCCATCGGAAAGTCTTCAAGTTGCATGGGACACTCAGCGGAGATCGTCAAGCTGAAAAACAGGAGATCTTTAGGTGACTTACTGACTGGCCATCTGCCGAGCAACCATCTTGTCCCTGAAAGCCATGTCAATACTTACTGTAACTAATTACCCCAAATTTCCTAGAACACTGGGACTCAATTCCACGAAGCTTCTACACAGGAGAAGAGTGTCACTGAGATGTGGGGCTAACAGCCAGAAACACTCTGGAGATCTGTGGTTTGACCTGCGCGTGCCCGGACACAGATTACTGCTTAGGAAACTATCTCAGATGCCAGTCAAGTTAATTTATTTTTTGTTGCCTGACTTTTAACCATCATCTAAAAAGCTAAAAAAGCTAAAAAGACATGCATGTCCTCACATAGTCTACAAGCTCTATAGTCTATAACGTAGGTTCTATAGTCTGTAATGTAAGTCTGCAATGTATAGTCTGTAATGTAAGCTCTATAGTCTGTAACACAGGCTCTATAGTCTATAAATGTAGGGTAAATGTGAAAATTTTATCAGAACCTGGCTATACTCACTGTGTAAGGCTGATGTGAAACTGAAGAGCCAGTCTGTTTGACAACAGCCAGTGCACTGGCTCAAACTTAATAGTTTTTAATTCGAATAATAATAGCACGGGTCACCTCCCCTCATCATTACCAAGCACAGTAGGAAGGTGACAGGGGCTGCACTGACACATGCACAGAGGCACAGCAAGGTCTGACCGCCCCAGGCGAGGGAGCAGGAAAGCCGGGCTCTGAGTGAGGAATCAGGCTCAGACTGCAGTGGAGCTGGCAATGCAGCCCAGGCTGCCAGGCCCATGGCGGCAGAGGGTCCCACAGGATCTGCTGCTGGGCACACAGCTGGGGCCATGCACTGTAAGAAGCAAGTGCACTTGTGCAGTGGCCACACGGGGGTGCTGCCACAGGCTGCAGGGCCTTGGGTGTTGGCCCCAGAGGTCCATGTGCTAGGAGACTGGTCCCCAGTGTGGAGTATGGGACTGACAGGGCCATTAAGGGCCGGAGCCTAGCAGAAGACACTTAGTGGACTTGAGGCGAGCCTTTCCCTGGAGGAGAGAGGCCAGGCCTCTGCCGCGGGAATGCATCGAGGGAGGAGCCTTCCTAGAATCAAAAAGGACAGCATGGCTCAGTTAGTTCCCACTTGTGCACTGGGTGGTGCGGGCACTGTTCTGTAACACAGCTTGTACCGAACCAAGCTATAGTATGACAGCGTGATTTCGTGAAGACACTAAAATTGTGTAACAGGCACAGGCCTGCCACGCTCAGGTTCAGGCTATTGGTAACCCACAGAGCCCCACAGCAGCAAAATAAACCTTACTTCCCAGGAAAGTCCTCTATGTCCCGCCTCTCTCTGCCCAAATCGTACCACAGTTTAGGTTCTTGTTCAGGACCTAGAGAGTAGTCAGAGACGGTGCAGTCCACTTCCTTTGTCACCTGGGTGTGACCTCACAGCCTCAGAGATGCAAACCTGCCCAGCAAAAGTGGGCTGTTTGATTCAGCAGGAGACGGGCACTCCCAGCAAGCCAGGCAAAACTCCGATGCACAGCAGACCCTCATGAGGCTCAGGAACTGGCATGGGGAGCACAGGCTGTCAGACTGTGTTCATTCTGGTAACCCTGCCCCCAAGAGGCAGGAGGGGAGTTGGATAACCTTCCAGGGTTAGAGTTGCCCCAGTAAGGTTCCTTAAAAGCAAAATTGTAATTTAAGGTGCTGGGCACTGGGAGCTGGGTCCGAGCAGCAGGCTGGTATCGCTGAGGGACTGCCTATGAACGAGACGGGCAACAGAGAGGCTTCCCCAAGGAAAGGGTCTGAAAGAGGCAAAGGGTACTGGATGACCAGGCAACCCCGTGCAGGAACAGGGTGATAAAAGCCGCCGCTGTGGTGACTGAGTTATTCTGCCCCTGTCCCAGAACGGTCTTGGGTGAGACTGCAACCTTGGGGGAGGCTGAGATGATTTCGGGTGAAATCAGAAGCAACCACAGGCAAGGTATCCTGGCACACCTCGGAGACTGCGCTTTGGGACTAACAGATGGAGAAATGAATATGGCTCCCAGTCTGAGGGAATTAAGGGGCTTCGGGAGCAAACTATCCTGACTGTTCTCTCAGACTGAAGGATTCAGAATGACAACCCGACAAAAGGACAGCCCCAAGGATAAAGTATTCTTGTTTCACTTGATCTTGACATCCATCCTTGCTCTGTCTTCTGGTCAAAGTTCAGACCCGATGAAGACAAGCTTTACTGAATTAAATTTGTTACTGATAAAGACCCTGGTCTCAAGAGGATATAAGTGACTCCCTAAATTGGCAACAAGGACCCATGATCCTCTTTCCCCTGAAAACTCAGAGGCTTAGTAAGAAACAGAAGTATTCACCTCCAGTCCCCTCCTCCACACAGGAGCCTCTGGGGCTCCTGCCCCCAGCCTGCAGGCCCCAGCACCCCGGGACCTGCGGTTCTGCTCACTAGGAGCTGGGGTCAGTCGAGGAGGACCTGGGTCCTGGAGCAGCAGGGGAAGCTACACAAGGAGAAGATGAAAAAGGTGCCAAAAAGGTGTTCAAAACCTGCTGTTTACCCCAAAGACTAAAGCGGGAGCTCAGTCCCTCCATCTCTTGAGAAAAGTTCTCTTGGGGGAGGAGAAGAAAAATCAGGTTACAAAGCTTAGCTAATGGATAAATTTACTTGTGGCTTCCAATTTAAATTGGTATTTTTGTTGCATTAATAGACTTAAAATATTGCTTAAGGATAGTAAATGTTTATGCTACAATCACAGGGTTAACCTGCTCCTCTCTGTTTTCTGCTGCTGCTAAGAATAGAGTCAAGTTGCTAGAAAGCCTGTTGGCAGCCAGTCAAGATCAGAGCTGTAAGGGTCTAAGACCAGGAGAGAAAGAAAAAGTTACAACAGTTAGAGGTGCACCCTGACGCTGATGTTTCTTCCAGAGGAAAAGAAAATATTGTCAAAGAGGCTCTAATCCACCTGGATCTGAGAGGCGGAGGGGAGGTAGGCAGCTTGCTCAGGCCCTGTACCAGCACCTCAAGGCCAGATCCCGCAGCTCCTTGGGGCCACAGGCTTGTGTAGAATTTGGACACCTAATTTCTCAGTTTTGGTAGAATCCCTTTATGAAGTCACCAAGGTGGGAGAGAGTGACAAGATCCTCTATTATGGGAACAAGAATAACAAAATGCTTTCAAGGAGATCAAACAGGCCCTCAGCAAAGCACCAGGCTGGGACTTCCAGACACAAGCCCACAGCAGTACCGACCCAGCAGTGGGTGTTTAACCCTGATGTTGGGGGTGTGGCACTGCTGGTGCATGCCTCTCCAAACAAGGCAACTCTGTCCCTGGGGCTGGCCACCCTGCTTGTGAGAGCCTGCAGTTACAGCTCTCCTGATGGCAGAAACTGAATGCAACACAAGAACTGACGGTGTGACAGAGTACCACATTCAGTACTGACATGAATGCACTGTAAGGCGACACCTAAATGGCCAGATGGTAGGGAGGTGGTGTGAGATTCTGTACACCCACCTAAGAGTTACTGACCCTGACCATCGCAACTCCACGGCCACTGGGCTGCACTGGCCAGACCATGCTGTACTGAGGTCATGGAGGAGGCTCTCCAGCCAAACGAACTTCAGGGAGCAGAGGGGTAGCTGGATGGAATGATATTTCTAGTTCCAGCTTTGTAAGGAATCTCTGCACTGATTTCCATAGTGCCTGTACTCCACTATGTGGTTTATACTCCAACAGAATCAGCTGGGGATTCTGCTCATTAAGTCGGTGCCTCTACCTACATTTTCGAGAGTTTTGCCTATTTTATCTTTTATAAGGTTAAATGTTTCTGTTTCTATTACATCTCTGGACCATTTTGACTTTAGTGTAGCACACAGGGAGACACATGGTTCTAGCTTGGATCTTCTGCAGGTGGAGAACCAGTTTGCTCTTTACCATGTATTAAAGAGGCAATCTTTTCCCCCACTACAACTTTTTTGGCCCCTTTGTCAAATATCCTACAGCTGAATGTGTCTGGGTTGTTCCTGTCACCTCTATTTTGCCCTATTTGTGGGCATATCTGTTTTTGTGCCAATATCACACTGTTTTATCACCACAGCTATGTCCATGACTGGAAGTCCAGGTTTGTGGTGTTTCCTAGTTTGTTCTCATAACTCAGGTTTGCTTTTGCTGTTCTGGGGTCTCTTCGGTTCCAGCTGAACTCCGACATAGTTTGCTATAGTCCTGTGAGGGATGTTGTTGGTGTTTTTCTGGGAGTTGCATTAAATCTATATACCAGTTTGAGGAGTGTGACCTAACCAGAGACAGGCCCTGTCTTTCTATCTTCTGATGTCCTCTTTGATTTCCTCCCTCAGGACTCTGCCCACACAGCCACTGTGACATCTGACTCAGAACTTCCCTTGCTTGTGCAGAGTGACGCCCCATGCGGAAAGCCTGGTCCTCTTCCTTGGGCACCATATGCAGCCTCAGTTTCTCTCCCCTTTTTTGGCCAAGACTGTGCATTTGTAAGGGTACCAGGGCCCCACCTCCTAGGGTGGACTTCATTGTGACTGTTCAGATAGGCAGTTTCCTGACTCTGGAAAATCTTTGCACTAATGTGTAAAGGTAAACGTTCCGACAGAATTCTACACTAAGGAGTCTGCTTTTGGCATATCATGGGAGTGTGCGTGTGTCTCTGTGTGTGTGTGTGTGTGTGTGTGTGTGTGATGTGCAGAGAGGAGGAACGGGGCCTGGACAATGTGCAACACCAACGACACAGCTCTTAGTTGGAGCTACAAAAAAGACTAAAAAGGATTCCAGTACAAACATGGGAAAACAGATTTCTATACTTAGCATCTCAATACATGTTAGCACTAGAACCCCACTGGTAATCCTTCGTTTCTATAGAGTTCTTTGGAATTCCAGTTACACATGGCAGATAGGTACATTTCATCTATGATAGCGTCTCCTCTGTAGGAAATGAAAGAAATACTCAGATAAATCCCACAATAGCAAATGTTTCA